TTGATCACATCGAATTACCTGAGGCTTCCTCACGAAAATGATGAAAATGTAGCTGCGGCCTAGGCGGCGCAGGGGGGCCGTGCACCAGGGGCCCCAACAATAATTATTCTTTAGAATTAATAATGTTCAACAACAACAACAACAACAAACAACAACAACAACAACAGCAGCAGCAGCAGCAGCAGCAGCAGCAGCAGCACCACCACCACCACCACCACCAACAACAACAACAACACCAACAACAACACCAACAACACCACCACCACCAACAACAACAACAACAACAACAACACCAACAACAACAACAACAACAACAACCACAACCACAACCACAACCACAACCACAACAACAACAACAACAACAACAACAACAACAAGGACATCCTCAGGCGACCGAAGAGGAAAGCTTTACCACGTACCCCACCTTGTCCTCCTCCTCCTCCTCCTCCTCCTATTCCTCCTCCTCATGATTACGCTCCCCCTCCGTCTCTTCTGCCTCCGTCTCCGACTCATCCAACTCATCCTCCTCCTGGGCCTCCTCCTCCTTCTTATCCTCCTCTTCCTCCCCCATCTCGCCATTGGGACTATTCTGAAGCCTCGTTCTCACTTCCTCTTGGGCCTCCCCCTATCTTCCTCAGTATACTCGTCCTCATCCCTCTGCTCGCTGTCGTCGTCGTCGTCATCATCCTCCAGGGGGGGAGGAGAAGGAGGAGGAGGAGGAGGAGGAGGAGGAGGAGGAGGAGAGGGAGGAGATGGGGCCTCTTGGAGACCTCTTGGAGGTCTCTAGGGCCTTGGGGGGCTTCTTTCGGACGTTTGGGGAGCTCTGGAGGCTTCTTAGGGGCGCTTTGGGGTCGTTAGGGCGGCTGGGCACGTGCTTCTTCTCTTGAATCCCTCTTGGGCAATTCTTGGGCCGTCTTGGAAGCCGCTTGAGGTGGGACGCTCTTGGGTCGTCGTGAAGTTTCTTGAGCCTCGTTTGGCCTGATATCGCGAGCACGCTGACATCCTTGAAAGGTCATTGAACTCCTTGAGAAGTCCTCTGCACTCTTTCCCTCCTTCTGTTGGCTTGGGATCGTCCCGGGGGCCTGCAAGGCCCTGCTTCGCGGCCTCCGGGGGCGCCCCCCATTTAGGTCACCCCCCGTTACCACCCGCCCGACCAGTGCCATGCCCCTGCCCCTCGTCGAAGTCCTCCTCATTGTCCTTCTCCCCCCTCCTCGTCCATCTTCCCTCCTCGTCCTCCTCGTCCTCGTCCTCCCCCTCCTTGTCCTCCTCGTCCTCGTCCCCCATCCTCGTCCTCCCCCTCGTCGTCCTCCCCCCTCCTCATTGTCGTCCTCCCCCCTCGGCCTTCCAGGGGGCACACGAGCAACAGAGCACCAACCGCCAACGATGGCGCACCGCGACGGCAAAAGCAAGCGGAGCTGGCGCTGCCTCTCCTCGCCTCCTACTGATCCTCCTCCTCCTCCTCCTCCTCCTCCTCCTCCTCCTCCTCCTCCTCATCCTCCTCCTCCTCCTTTTCCTCCTCTTCGTCGTCCCCCTCCTCCGCCTCCTCGTCGTCCTCCTACTGATCCTCCTCCTCGTCCCCCTCCTCCTACTGATCGATCCTCCTCTTCCTCCTCGTCCTGTTCCTCCTCCTTCCCCTCCTCCTCCTCCTCCTCCCCCTCTTCCTCCTCCTGCTCCTCCTCCTTCTCCTCCTCCTTCTCCTCCTCCTCCTAATGATCCTCCTCCTCCTCCTCCTCCTCCTCCTCCTTCTCATCGTCCTGTCCCTCCATCCCCCTACCCCAGTCCCTCTTGGTCCGTGTAGGGCTGATCTGGACGCCCTATGGGGCCCTCTCGTACGTCACGTAGGCCACCTCGAAGACATATTGGGACTCTCCGGGGTCGTCGCGAACTCCCCAGAAGTGGGAAACAATACAATCCCACCAGCCCTTTGGGCGTGAGTGGTTTAGAGAGCCCGCTCTGTTCTCAACCCCCTTCTTCCCCTTCGGGGAGGGGTTTACCCCTCCCCCTACCCCCTACCCCTGGACCTGGAGAGGTCCTTTCGCGGGTGGTTGGAGGGGTCTTTTTCGACTCCTGGGAGGGCTAAAAAACGACACCCCTCACGAGGATTCTGGCCCCGACGGGGGGGGGAGAAAAAACCCGCCCCATCTGTGATCGATCGCCCGAAAGATGGCCCCAAGATACCTCCCAGACCCCTCCCAAAGAGCCCCAAGAGGCCCCAAGAGGCCTCCAAGAGGCCCCCAAGAGGCCCCCAAGAGGCTCCCAAGAGGCCCCAAGAGGCTCCCCCGAGGCACCCAAGACGCTCCTGGAAGCCCCTGGGGCCGCCGAGAGGCCCCCAAGACGCCCCAAACGGCCTCCAAGAGGCTCCCAAGAAGCCCGAAGAGGCTCCCCCAAGGCACCCAAGACGCTTCTCGAAGCCCCTGGGGCCGCCAAGAGGCCCCCAAGAGGCCCCAAAAGGTCTCCAAGAGGCTCCGCAAAGACATCTACTACTACTACTACTACTACTACTACTACTACTACTACTACTACTACTACTACTACTACTACTACTACTACTACTACTACTACTACTACTACTACTACTACTACTACTACTACTACTACTACTACTACTACTACTACTACTACTACTGCTACTACTACTACTACTACTACTACTACTGCTACTACTACTACTACTACTACTACTACTACTACTACTAGTAGTACTAACATTTCTACTACTACCACATCATCTACGACTACTACTTCTATTACTACTACTACTACTAGTCCTATTACTGCTACTAACACGACTACTACCACTACTACTACTACTACTACGACTACCATCACTACTACTGCTGCTACTACTACTACTACTACTACGACTACTACTACTACTACTACTACTACTACTACTACTACGACTACTTCGAAAACTAGTACTACTACTACTACTCTACTACTACTAGTACTACGACTACTTTGAAATCTAGAACTACTGCTTCTACTCATGGTGCTACGGCTACTACTACTACTACTACTACTACTACTACTACGACTACTACTACTACTACTACTACTACTACCACTACTTCTACTACTACTACCACTGCTCTAGTGGCTGCTACTGCTACTGAGGCAACTGCTGCGACGACGACGTGGACGACTACGATTGCGACTACCGCTGATACTGGTAACACCACCACTACTGCTACTACTACTACTACTACTACTACTACTACTACTACTACTATTGCTACTACTACTACTACTACTACTACTACTACTACTACTACTACTACTACTACTACTACTACTACTACTACTACTACTACTACTACTACTACTACTACTACTACTACTACTACTACTACTACTACTACTACTACTACTACTACTACTACTACTACTACTACGACTGCTACTACTACTACTACTACTAGCACTACTAGCACTACTACTGCTACTACTGCTACTACTGCTATCACTGCTACTACTACTACTACTACTACTAGCACTACTAATCCCACCAGCCCTTTGGGCGTGAGTGGTTTAGAGAGCCCGCTCTGTTCTCAACCCCCTCCTTCCCTTCGGGGAGGGGTTTACCCCTACCCCCTCCCCCTGGGCCTGGAGAGGGCGCCCCGCGGGTGGTTGGAGGGGTCTTTTTCGACTCCTGGGAGGGCTAAAATTCGACACCCGTCACGAGGATCGTGGCCCCGACGGGGGGAGGCAGAAAAATGCTCCCCTCTTCTTTGAAGCCAGAATCATTGATTTTACTAAGGTTTTGGCCCCATTTTGGCCTTCTGAGGGGGCAGCGCTAATTAAAGCTCCCATCTTCTTTCAAGCCAAAATCATTGATTCTACTAAGAGGCCCCAAGATGGCCCCAAGAGGCCCCCAGGAGGCCCCCAAGAGGATCCCAAACGGCCCAAAGAGGCCCCCCGAGGCACCCAAGACACCGAAAAGCCCATCAGGACGACCCTCTACTCGCCTGGGCGTCGTTTCTGGACGGGCTGGTGGGGATACGCGAAGCGTGATGAATTTTCGAATGGCCTTCGGCCAAACCCACTACCGTGCCTGGGTCGTAGACCGGAGGCCTGAATGGGAGGCATTTCCTGGTCGCTTGGGAGGCCTCTCCGAAGCCTGTTGGAGCCGTTCTTGGAGCCTTTGGGGGGGGGGCCTCTTGAAGCCTCTTGGGAGCGTCTTCCTGGCCTCACGGACGCTGCTGGGGGGCCTGTCCCCCCATGAGGCTTCCGAATGCCAATGACGCCCCTCAGGGCGGGCATATCTATCTCGAAGCATCTTGAGGCTCCTGGGCTGGGGAGGCTATCGGGCCCCTGTCGCCGATCCATGGGCGATTAGGGGTGCATGCATCCCCCCTCAACCCATCTTCCCTTGATGGTGCCACCGATCAGATGGGACGCCCGAGATGGGTGCGGAAACAGTGGGTACAATACCCAACAACAAGAGTGGTCCAAAACTGGCAGCGGCCGATGTTGGGCAAGCGGCCTTCTTTCTTAAATGAACAGCGTCCGCGGCGACACCGACGACGAGTCCTGCTCAAAATGATCAAGAACAACTGTTGGTCTTTGTTCCTGGTCTTTCCGTACAGTAGGTTCGTGTCGTGCCAACCCCGGCGTTGGTTTCTGACACCGCACTGGTCCGTTGAACCTTGAACAATCGGACGTTTCCGAAACGTTCGATGTTTCAACACCGACCGATTCTGGGTCGCCAGCGGCTTTCAACGTTGAACGCCGGCGGCGGGGTCGCCGCTGGTCGAAACGACGCGAACTACTATTAGGTCGGGCATGTCCTCCTACAGGTGGATTTTGGACAACAGAAAATTTGTTTAAAAGGAAATATGTCAATAGGAATAGGAAAATCGTCCCCAGACTATGTTTGGACTACTTTTGAACATTCCCCCTGTAGTGGGACACGCCCGACCAAAACCTACCGTACCCATGTCATCCGTACCGGATCAGCCTCGCCCTCAGGGTGGTGCGGCGCCGGCAGGGCAGCGGTCCTCCTGCAGATCATGACGACGGACCAGGGGCACGCCCACGTCGGTTTGGTGGCGCCCCTGCCCGCCGTGCGGCGTCCCAGGAGTCACCCACCCCTCCGTCAAGCCTTAGGCAAATCGAACTCGTCAAGGGCTTAACGGCTTCTTTCCAAAAAGGCGAAGCCAGGACGAGGAGAACATAGGGTGAGGATAATTCAAGTCTCTGAGATCTTGCGGTTCTGAAGGATGTATCGGGCGCCGCGGCCTTCTCAGAGCGTTCTGGAGCGCTCTGAGAGAGTTCCAGAAGGCTCTGTAACACACTTATTCTCGTCCTAGCCCCGTCCAATTAGCGTGACTGGCGGCCCGCCTATTTCACGTTTTACTGTGCCCACGCACAACAGGGTACAAGGCTTACGTGACTTGACTTAACTTGGCTACCTTGATTCATCCAGATTGATCTCCACAAGCCGATCGGCGGAAAGCCGTCAAGGCCTCAGGGACGAATCAACAAATCGGATCGGATCGGGAACAAATCGGATCGCCAACGAATCGCCCCGAATCGAATCCAAATCGGGTCACCGCGCCCAGCTCCGGCCGGCCCCGGCCGGTGAATCGAGCCACATCGAGTCGAATCGGAATCGCAGGCCAAGTCAGCGAAGCGAATCGCATCCAATCGGATCGCGGGCGGACCTGGCCGCCCCCATCCTCCATGTGCTGATTTCTCGGGCTCAGACTACGCTGCGCACGGAAGGTCCATGACATGACCTTGAACCTTGAACGATCGGCGGCTTTTCAATCGCCGCGTCGTTCCATATGTTCTGGGCCACTGGCGACGCTGAACCTTGAATGCTGCAGCTGGGTCGCAGCCGTGTGAACACGACACAATACTGTCGTATGCTGACACCTGACTGTTTAAAGATGTTCCATTCTACGAGATGCTGGCGCGCCTCCGTAAACGCAAAGACCGACAGAATTGAATCCTGACAGCCCGAACGACAGTCGAACGCACGTGGCCATCACAGGCTGCACTCGGCGCGAACAAGCTGTTTTGTGAGCGAACTCTTGTGATAACTGGCAAACGACATTCTCTCCGCGGGACAGCTACAGATTGCGGCTCGAATAAAGGCGGATGGCAAAACCGCAGGCATGCGGTCACCAAAAGCATTGTCGTCCACAACACGGTCAAACGCAGCATGGCGTCGACCACAGCATGTGAGCAACTGCGCCCTGGCGAGCAGAATTGCACAAGGCTCCCAAAGGTAGCGTCGCGCCCAATTGCGGGCACCGGCGCAATCCCCGCTGCTTCCCAGCGTCCTCAACGTCCCCAGCCCCCACACAGCCGAGATAGGCACAACAGGACCCCAAGAGGTATCCAAGATTTGTCCTACCTACTACCCCCGCAGGCGCCACAGAAGAGCCCCAGAAAGCAGAGAAAGCTCTCGAGAAGGGCCCAAGAGATGATCAAGAAGCTGAGGCCTCCAACAGGCCTCCCCCCATGTAGCCAGGCAGACCTGACCTCAGGAAGCATCGCAGATGGCTGCCTCCCTTGGGGTTGATCCAAAACGCCCACGCGGACCTGTGGGCGACGCGCCTGGTGCGGCCGGACAGGAACGCTCGCATCCCCCAAACGAGACCTGCAGTCCCCAGCCGGCCGGCGCACCAGACCAACTAGGGAGGAGGGGCGTGGGAAGCCAGCGACGCCAGACAGAGCGCCCCTGGCATCCTCGAACGACGCAGTGGACTACCGAGCGCTCTCACAGGGCAACACTGGCACCAACGGAAGCTACCTTGAGCCAAGATGGGGCTAACATGGGCGCTCTGGGGACCCCTGTGCCGTGGGCCTTTCCACAAGTAAGCGACAAAACGGCGTGCAAACCCACCGCACCAAGGCGGCCGTGCCTCTGGACCAGCTTTGAAGGCACACTGCGGCCCTTTCAGGAGCAAAGCTCAAAACTTCATACACCGCCTCTGACACCGGCGGAAGGAGAACTGGCCCGACCAGAAGCGCCGAATCACCAGATCCAACCACGGCGAGAAGGATGCCGCTGGTACGACGCGAAAATGTGGAGCGAAAGCGGAACGCGAAAGTAGGATGCGAAAGTGACATGCGAAATTGGACACAAATCTAAAGCAGGCAGACGTGGGGCGGCACCCCCAATGATCAGGGCCGCCTCTCTGAAGTAAACGAGAGAGCCCATCAATCAGTGCAAGCACTGCTCTTGGGATCGAGAACGAAATCCTTCTAATTGCCCTGCTTGCGGAGAGCAATGGCCGATCGCAGTGACAATGCCAACGGCAGTTATACATCGGACGCGGAGCGGAGAGCCAACGCGCCCGGAGGACGAAAAAGGGGTATCACGCCCCGAGGTACTCTTCCTCCAAGTGCTGAGCAAGGGAGGAGGATGAGAAGGAGGAGTCTGGACAGGAAGATGGAGAGGAGAGGAGGAGGGGCTGTACGCCGTTCGGATCTGAATTCCTGTGCGAACTGAAGGCGAGGTTGACCGCGCTTGTGCTTCCTCGTAGGATGTCGTGCCCGTGCGCTTACAAAACAGCAACCTGGACGTATGACCAATGCGAGAACGCGAGGTAATCATTTTGGCTGAGTTTGAAACGCTCAGAGCGTCCGCGTGACGAGAATGTGTTCTCACCGTACATTCCCTCATCAACTTGTGTGCGCCCAGAATTGGGCGAACGAGCAACGACATAAGCATCAAAACTCTGAGGTCCGCGCGGGTTTCTCGGATCGGCGCTGGGCGCGGAGCGCGCCAGGGTCGGCGCCAGAGGCGCCGCCAGGGGGCCCCAGCGCCGATGCGAGAAATCCGCGCGGACCTCCGAGTTGTTATGTTCATGTCATTGTTCGTTTCCCTGAGAATGCGCACCACTTGCCCGCCACTTGCCGCCCGAGTGCCGTGCCGCGCCCGAGACGTGTCCAACAAATGCGGGCACGGTGCCGTGCTGTGACCGCCCCGTGCCTCTGCAGAGCGCACGCCGTGCCCACGCTGCGCCTGCGACCCAGAACGCGAACAGTCTGCCGTGCAAAGTCGTGCCCGCGTCGTGCCCCGAACCTGCAACGCACAACAAGACACGTGGTGTCTGAAACCTGGGCGCGGCACACATTTCGCATGCTGAGGTCTAGGCACAGCGCCGTCACGGACACGGCAAGGCACTGCAACCTTTCTTAGGGGAGCGAAGAATGACATAAACATAAAAACTCGGAGGTCCGCGCGGATTTCTCGGATCCGCGCTGGACCCCCCTGGCGGCGCCTCCGGCGCCGCCGCTGGCACGCTCAGCGCGCCAGGGAGGGGGGTCCAGCGCCGATCCAAGAAATCCGCGCGGACCTCCGAATTTTCGATGCTTATGTCATCCATCGCTCCCCTAAGAAAGGTTGCAGTGCCTTGCCGTGTCCGTGACGGCGCTGTGCCTAGACCTCAGCATGCGAAATGTTTGCCGCGCCCAGGTTTCAGACACCATGTGTCTTGCGGCTGCACGCAAGAGTGACCCTAGGCCAGAATGACCTTTGGTGCGCGGACAAAGGTGGCGCAAAAAGGCCAAATCCAACCGCGCAAGCAGCCGCTAACGCATCGCGCTCAGCGATCGGGAAGACCCCGACGAGCCAGCACCAAAGGTCACTCTGGCGAAGGGTCACTCTTACGTGTAGTCAACTCCTCTCATGCAACGGTGCTGTATGGGATCTCTGCCGGTGTGGTTCTCTTCTCTGTCCTGGGCCCCCCAGAGGAAGAACATTCGCGAAAAGTGTTAGTCGTATATGCTTCACGGCACCAGGGGATTAAAGATCGGCCGTGCCGAGCCGTGCCAAAAAAAACCAATGCGGAAGGATGTGCCGTGTCGTGCAGAGACGTGAATAGAACCCAACAAGGACAAACACATGTACCCGCGATATACCTAAAACCCACCATGCGGAAAATGTGCGTGCCGTGCCCGTGCCGTGCCTAGAACCCAAAATGCGAAACAACGCCGTGCCAATGCTGTGTCGTGCCTGCAACCCAAAATGCGAACAAAAACGTGCCCGCCGTGCCATGCCGTGCCGTGCCCGTGCCCGTGCCTAAATCCCACAATGCGAAAAATGTGCCATGCAGTACCAGCGCCGTGCCTAGAGCCCCAAATACGACAACATGGGCTGTGCCACTCCGCGACGCGTCTAGAACCCAAAATGCAACAAAAACATGCCGCCCGCGTACGGTGCCGTGCCGTGCCCGTGCCGTGCACCCGAATGAGAAACATATGCTGTGCCTCACCGTGCCCGCGCCGTGCCCGCGTTGTGCCTGAAACCCAGAATGCGAAACATGCGCCGCACCTAGGTTTCAGACACGATGCGTCTTCTACTGCAGCGTTGATCTATGGGATCTGCCCGAGCAGTTTTGTCTCTGCCCTGGGGCCTGGTAAGGGCCCCCAGGGGAAAAACATTCGCAAAAGCGTGTCGATCGGATATTTGTCACGACGCGAGAAGATCAGGGATCCAAACCGGAACACAGGTCTGTGATGACGAGCCCCCCCGAAGAGAACGTCGCACACATCCAAATAAGCCTCGAGCTCTTTGAGCCTCGGGAGCGCACGGGCCGCCGCAGAGGAGCGCGGGCCCCCCCGGACCCCGCCTGGTTATCACCGACGCCGCCATCGCCTTCAGCGAGCCCGGCTGCATCACGTTCACCCCCATGGCCAGCAACGGCGCCACGTACCTCCCGCGGCGCGCCGAGGTCTCGGGAGGGCGGGAGCAACGCAGGATTACCCCAGAGCCCACCCCCGAATAAGGGCAACGAAGATCGGCATCACCCTTGAGATCCGACGCTCCCAAAAAATTGGAGCAGGTGGTTCTTGGCCGTTTTCGGCCTCTGGGGGCCCTCGCCGGGCCTCGGGACGGTAAAAATAACGACTCAGGACGAAAAAAACCGCCCTAGGGTCGTGGTCGGGACCTCTGGGGCCCACGCATCGAAAAAACTGGAGCAGCTGGATGCCTGGGACCAGCCATCATTGCGCGAGGAGCCGTGGACGGTCCTCGCTGTTTCGAGGCGCTCCGCTCGAGGCATCGCCCATCCCCAGATCGGGAGGCAACAGGTGGACCTGCTTACTGGAGGCGGCCCGCTGGTGGTGGCGGGGTCGCTTCGCCTCCCTCCGCCCACCAGATTGCCCCGAGGCCTAGCTCCCCAGCAGCCCCGAAGAGGCCTCACGGGGGCCCCAAGATAAACATCTAAAGGCACACATCATGAGAGCACGCGCTGTTTCCCAACCGAGTTCACGGCGCCTTTCACCCACAAGTTAGGCCCTGGCGGGATGGACCGAAGGCCGCTCGATCGCGCCACTGAGGAAGGAAGTCGAGGAGGACGAGCCAAATACGCCCTCATCAGGCCTCCCAAGAATCCCCAGAGTGCCGAGCGCGGCACAGGCCTCGAGATGATTTGGTGGGAACGCGCAAAGCGAACTGAAAACTACCGATGGTCGATCGGGTCGCGACGATGGGGTCCTGCCCATGTGGGACGCAGCACGACATACCAGCACATGTGCTTCTGTCGGAGGCGCACGTCCGACCCGAACATATAGCATACCAGTGTTATCCGCAGACCCTGCTGGCGTGTGGAAGATGCTGTTCAGTTTAACTCGGCGTCGTCGTCGTCGCCGTCGCGTTTGGCCTCCCTTTCCCTGGGCCCGTCGCCGCTCCCCCCTTTGACTGGGCTCTCCTCAAGCGAAAGAGAAATTGAGCAACGTCGTAGTTGAGTCGAAGGAAAGCCCCTTCCCTTTGATCCCTTCCCTTCCCTTCCCTTTGATCCCTTCCCACCCCGCCGACATTGGTCGGGAGAAGGCCGAGGCCAGCTGGCTGCTGGTTCACAGTCAACCCGTACTGGAAGGACGCAAGATAAGGATGCAAGGGACTTGGAAGGCCACGCCAACACTTTGCGCGAGGGGCGCGGCCAGCGAAAGCGGCCCAGGATGGGCCTGAGGGGAAAGATGTAAGGATTTCCGTGGAAAAATACTCATCCATACAATGCGGGTTTGCTGCAGCCTGCCTCCAGAGACGCAGGTCCAAGAAGAGAACGGCGAAACGCAAGGGTCAGCCCGCTTGGAGGTCTGGCAGCATCATCGCAATCGTCGCACTCGTCATCGTCGTCGTCGTCGTCGGCGGCGGCGGCGAAGTCGGCGTTGGCGTCGTCGTCATCTTCGCCGTCGTCGCCCGTGGGCCGCGGCAGCCAGCGGCGTCGCCTAGCGAGGCTCTTCTCGCTCTCCGGCTGGAAGCTCACGCCGTAGCCTCCGCGGCTCGGTCGGTGCCGCGGCCCGGCCGAGTCCGCCTGTCCCTCGCAAGCGCCATCGTCTGCCAAGCTCGGGGGAGACTCGGGGCCTGCAGGATCAGTGCTCGGGTGCCTCTCGCGCGCCTCCCTCCCTCCATCCTTCCCTCCATCCTCCCACCTCATCCTAGGCCTTGGCATCGCTCGGACGTGTGCATGTTGCTCGGCGAAGACCATCGAGGAGCATCTGGACTACCTGCGGAAAACGTCAGCCGACCCTGTGGCGTGTATGAGACGCTGTCGTCGTCTTCGTCGTCGACAGTCCCGAGGAAATTGCCAAACGAACGGAGAAAAGAAACGTGGTAGTTAAATTGATTCCCTGTCCTTTTTCCTTCCATGACGGGGGGGGTAGGGGACGGGGGGGTCAAGACACCCTCGCCAGCCACAGGCTGTCCCGCTCACTCCCACCTGCTCTCCAACAGTTTTCTGACAATTGCGAAGAAGCCCAGTGGCACGGGGGAGGAAGAGGAGGAGGAGGAGAGGGGGGCGGGGGGGGGGGGCAATGTGGGACTATTTAGTGGTTCTATATATATATATATGTATCCCTCTCTTTTTTTCTCTCTCTCTCTCTCTATGTATCTCGTTCTCCCTTTCTCTTTCTATACTTATTTTGTTGTTGCTTCTCTCTCGTTTTCGTTATTTCTCTCTCTCTCTCTCTCTCCTTCTCTCTCTCGCTCTATATGTCTCTCTCTCTCTCTCTTTCTCAATGTATCTCTTTCTCTGTGTCTATCTCTCCCTCTCTCTCCCTCTCTCTCTCTCTCTCTTTTTCTCTCTTTCTCCCTCTGTGGCTGGAACCATGTCGAATGGAATTATACGGAGGGTTGGTCCACCTCTAGCGGATGCCAAAGGGTAAAGCAATCCGTGCCTAAAAATTACGAAGGGTGGATTCACATTTAAACACACCCGATCAGAGATGAATCCACCTCTACTGGGGTCATGTTACGGATGGTACCACCTGTAATAGAATTCGGTTAGATGTGGGTCCACACGTAACAAAATCCTGATATTATATAACCCCATCATGGCTGGTGTCACCTCGAATAGGAACCCTGTCACATTTGGATCCCGCTCCAATGGGATCATACTAGGGCTGGGCCCACGTGTAATAAACTCATTGCAGGGATTAACCCACCTCGAATCATAGCATCTCAATTTTAGGTTAGATACACTTCAAGTGCAAACATCTTAAACAGATGGAACAACGTCTCACACAATCCTGTCAAGGATGGGGCCACCTGGGGAATGGATCCACGTCTGATTGAAGTCTCTTGGGATGGGGCAGCCTCTAGCATCCTATCAAAGGTGGGGCCACCTCTAATACAATCCCGCTGGTGAGGCTGCGCTGTCTTAAGCAATATTTTTAAAATATTGAGCAACCTCCTAACACCATCCTGATAGGGATGCGCCCACCTTTAATACGGTCGTATTAGGTATGACGCCACGCCGAATGAAGTCCGATCAAGGATAAAGCAATCTGCGAAGGCGCGCCGCTGGATCTCCCCAAGGGGGGAGGGGGAGGTGGGACCCCCCCCCCCCTTTCCCCGATCCGTCGTCGGGGACCCCCCTTCCCCCTCCCCCCTCTCCCCCCCTTCCTTCCCTTTCCCGGTCCGTCGTCGGGGACATCCCCCCCCTCCCTCCTTTCCCGGTCCGTTATCGGGGGGCCCCCCCTCTCACCCCCTTTCAAAACGGGGGGGGGTCCCTCCCCCCCCCCCCTCCCTCCCCTTGGCCGCCTAATTCCCCCCCCCTTTCCCCCACTTTCGCCACGGCGCCCCTTGGTTCCGGAACCCGACCCTGCCACCCCTGACACTACCACCCCGACCACCCGCAACCTTGACCCCAAACCCTAACCCTAGCCCCAAGCTGTACCCAGTATTCATTACTCACTACCCACTACTCACTACCCACTACCCACTACTCACTACTCCCAACTCACTACTCAATACTCACTATTCACGACCCACTACTCAATATTCACTAATCACGAGACACTACTCAAGACCCAGTACTCACTACTCATTAATCACTACTCACTACCTAGAAACCATTTTCCACTACTCACCACAGAGTACTCACAATTCACTACTCACAACTCACTGCCAACAACTCACTACTCACTATCCGCTGCTCGCTACTCGCTATTTCCTACCCGATACGCAATATTCACCACCCGCTACGCACTACTCACGACTCGCTACTGCCTACTCTCTACTCACTAGTCACGGGTCACAAGTCACTACTCACAACTCAGTACTCACTACCCGCGATGCGCTACTCACTACTCACTACCCTCTACTCGCTACCCCCTACTCACTACCAACTACTCACTACTCACTTCTCACTTCTCACTACTCACTACTCACTACTCCCTACTCACTACTCACAACTCACTACTACACACTACAGACTACTCCCTCCTCACTACTCACTACTGGCAATGCCCTACTCGCTATTCACTATTCACTACTCGCTACTCCATACTAGCTACTCCCTACTCACTACCCACTACCCACTACTCACTACTAACTCATCACTACTCGCTACTATTTAATCACTACTAGTCTCTATTCACTACTCACTACTCTCTACTAACTACTTACTACTCATTATCGCGAAGCCAAGCCCTTCCATCCTTGCGGGGAAAGCCCCCAACCCGGCCCCCTGTTCGGCGCAAAAGAAGGTAAGGGGGGGGGGTTCGAGCCCCCCCCCCCTTCCAGCGCCAAGTGGGGCAGGGGGGGAAGGGCCCCGAACCTCCCCCACACCCCCTCTTCAAGGGGGGGAAAGGGGGGGTTCGAACCCCCCCCTCCTTTAGGGGGGAGAAGGGGGAGAAGGGGGGGGGGCGAAAATTCCCCCCACTCCTTTTTGAATCAAGGGGGGGGGGGGGGGGGGTTCTGCGAGCACCCCCCCCCCCTTTACAATTGCAAGGTGACCCAGTGGCGCGGTTTTGCAGTTTGTCATAATAATCAACCAAAAACGGCCCCACCCCCAACCGAACCCCAGCAAGTTCGCAACCACCTGCAATATGATCAGATCAGGGGCGGAAGCACCCCTAATGAAATCTGATGAGGGAAAGGACAAATCTGATATAATCCAAAGGGTGCCCCCCCTCTAACATAATCATATTCATGATAAAGCAATGTGCAAGCAAAAACGAACAATGAAATATTCACATCCGTTAGAATCCTCTCAGCGGTGGGTCCCTCACTAAAGAGATCCAGTTAAGGATGGAGCCACGTGTCCAGCAAACATTCGTTAAAGGTGGGTCCATCTCCACGAGAATCCGTTTAGAAGTGGGCCCACCTCCGCTTGGAAATAATCAAAGATGAAACCAACTGGAATATAACCCCGTCCGAGGAGGATCCACCACCATTTGAAACCTAATGGAAAAAAGAGAATCACCTCTAATAGACCCAGGATCCCTAGAGCCACCACTGCGATGCCGCGCCGTGCCCTGATGGCCCCTGCTAAGCTCTGCTAGGCCCAGCTGGGCCCTGCTAGGCACGGTTAAGCAATGCGCCCCCCCGCTAGGCCATGGCAAATTATCATGGCCACCTGCCAGGCCCGGCGAAACCTTGATACGCCCGATCACGCCCTGCTGGCCCCTGATATGCCCTGCTGACACCTGCCAGTATGTGCTGACATCTGCTAGCCTTGCTAAGTTCTGCAAGCGCCTCAATAACTTCTAGACCACGGCGCGCCTGCTACGCCATGCGGAATCACAGTTGGTATACTATCATCAGGGACGAACCCATTGAGAATGAAATCATATGTGCGGCGCATCTAACTTTAACAGTATCCGATTGAAGCTGAAACAACATGTAAGAAACATCAGATCAAGGAAGGACTCTGCTCAAATATAATCCCATGCGAGGTAGAACCACCCCGACTGGGAACCTGTCATGGACGGGGTCGCGGGCAATGGCGTTGCGTGCAATGCGGATTCGTCTCTACTAGAATCCATACACCTCGAGTAGAAGCCCATGAAGCACGGGGGAACCTGGTGCATAATCGCGGATCCCCTTCTATTTGAATATAATGGAAAATGGAGCCACCTCTGATCTAATCATTCGTACGCCCTGCGAACCCCCTGCTATATCGCTGCTACGCCTTGCCCCCTTCTGAGCCTTGCGAGCCACTGCGATGTCGCGCGAAGCCCTGCTTGCCCCTGTCACGCCCTGCTAGACCTAGCCAAACCCTGCGCAGCGCTGCCGAGCGCGGCTGAGCCCTGCTGGCCCTCTGCTGAGCCTCCATAAATTATGCTGGTCACCAGCCACGTCCAGCGAAGCCAGGGTGAGCCCTACCGAGCCCTGCTAGGCCCTGATAGCCCCTGGTACGCCCTGCTGAGACCTGCCAATATGTGCTAACACCTGCTGGCCCTGCTGAGTTCTGCCAGCACCTTGGTAGCCCGCTGGGCCATGCAACGTCTGCTAAGCCATGCGGAGCCACACCTAATATAAGAGTATCAGTGATGGGTATATTGCTAAGGGGATCCTATTAGTGGTAGGCCCAGCTTTAACATCATCTCGTTAAGGGTGAAGCAATACGGTATGCAAATCCGATCAAGGAAGTACCCAGCTCCTAGCAGGATCTCGCGAGAGGTGGATCCAACTCTACTGGGATCCCGTCACGGACGGGATTCCTGGCAATTGCGCTGCATTCAATGCGGATTCACCTGAGTTAGAATCCCGTTAGTGGGTCCACCTCGGATAGGACTCCACGAATATTGGATACACCTGTGATATAACATGATTAGATGTGGACCCGCTGATCGTTGATTCCTCTTGGGAACGGAGCCACCCCCAAAGGGGACCGAACTAGAACCAACCGGCGCGACCGGCGCGACCGGCACCGGCGCGACCAGCGCGATTGCGACCGGCGCGACCGGCGCGACCGGCGCAACCGGCGCGACCGGCACCGGCGCGACCGGCGCGACCGGCGCGACCGGCACCGGCGACCGGCGCGACCG